ATCAGTCTCCCAAGTATCCTCCTCTATGGGCTGATCTCTCCACTACACTTTCACTAATGCTATATCCCTTGACTCAACTTTCGGACCCGCGCTCCAAAATAGCCACTGGCTCCACATCATAAGTCAAAATCACCATCTAAATTGAACGTGCTGAAATCAAAGACACGAGACAAAATCGTCGATATACTTCGAAGGATAGAAACACTGAAATACTAGATGGAAACTCAATAAGCTAGGTGGCAAGGAAAGCTCATAGGCCACATCCCAAATCCTCCGGAGCACCTTAAACGGCCCAATAAACCGAGGGCTCAACTTGGCTCTTCCCAAATCTCATACAACTTCATGAGTGAAACCTTCAGCGAAACCTTCTCCCCAACCATGTAAGACACATCACGGAAACTTTCTATCAACATAACTCTTTTGTTTGATTGAGCTGTGCGAAGCCGCTCTTGAATCACTTTCACCTTGTCCGTACCCAAAAGCCTAGCCTCACCCGTCTCAATCCAACCCATGAATATCTAACCGTCTTCCCATATAAGCCTGATACGGAGCCATCTGAATACTCGACTAATAATTGTTGATGTAAGAACACTCCGGGAGTGTGCAGAAGCTGGTCCCATGAACCCCTAAAATCAATGACACAAGCGTGTAACATGTCCTCCAATATCTTAATAGTGCGCTAGGACTGTTCGTCCGCCTTAAGGGTGAAATGATGTGCTCAAACTCAACCTGAGTTCCAAACTCTTGCTGCACGGCATCTCCAAAACTAAGACGTAAATGAGTACCTCCATCTGAAATGATGGAAACTGGGACACCATACAGGAGAACAATCTCTCGGATATAAATCTCAGCCAACCGCTCTGAAGAACAAGTAGTGCTTTCAGGAATGAAGTGTGCGAACTTGGTCAGCTGATCCACAATCACCCAAATAGCATCTAACTTCCTCGAAATTCGGGGAAGCCTGACTAAGAAATCAAAGAGTGATATGCTCTCACTTCACCTCTGGAGTCTCTATCTGCTTGACAACCCGGCTAGTCGTCTCATGGAGTTAGCGCTCTGTTTCCCCATTTTTGCTTCTTATTGCTTTGTCTATCGGTTCTATATGTGATCGGGTTGGTTGGCTCGGGTTCAGAAAGGATTTGGTAAGGTTGGAGACACTTAGTCTCTTTTGAGGAAGCTTAAGTTGGAAAAGTCAACCGGATGTTGACTTATGTGTTAGAGGCTCAGATGTGAGTTCTGAGGGTTCGGATAGCTTCGGGAGGTGATTTGGGACTTAGGAGCGTGATCAGAATGAGTTTTAGAGGTTTGGAGTAGATTTAGGCTTGAATTGGCGAAGTTGGTATTTTTGCGATTTCCGGGTCCCATTTGGACTTGTTCTCTATCCCTTAATGAGAAGCCATTTATAAGAAGATTTCTGGTCCCATTTCGGGTCCCACTTAGTCTCTATCCTTAATGAGAAGCTTTTATAACACACAATACTCTGGTCCATTTGGATTGTCTAGGACCACAAATTCCAGAAGTCTTTATTTTTTCTTAAACTCTTGCTCAGTCAAACAAGTTCACATAATTGAAACGGAGGGAATAGCTTTTTACAAAGAAGGAAGAAGAGGAAAAAGATGAAAATGGGGATATATGGCGTTAAGGTGCTTTGCAAATTGATAATTCTAAGATACAGTCAACCTTATTCCTCACTTCTTGACTCAGAATTGGTAGTCTTTGTTGCTCATATTGGCTGGGACTTCATTAAGGCTGCTTATCGGGCGGATTGGGCGGTTATTTACTCTTAACGGTTTGGCTTATCGGTTAACAGCTTTTAAATGTATTAATCTGTTAGCCACCCGATAAGATATCGGGCGGATTGGTATCGGTTTAACTCTTATTGGGCGGTTATTGGGCGGTTTATCGGCCTAATTCAATATATATTCAATCAAAATTAATAAAAAATATGCACTTACAACGGAAGTACTAATTCAGAACCCATATAGGAGTGTTAATCCACGTCTGGTTGTAGCCATTGTATATAAGTTATATCTTATCCGAATAAATCATCGCCTCAAATTCCAGTATGCAATGTAGAAAGCAAAAGAAATTCACCTCATCTATAGTAATAATTTCTTTGATATGCTGAAGTCGGTGAACAAAACGCCAAACAAAAGCACAAGAATTAGATTTCTCAAATCATAGTAACAAAAAACAAAGAAAGCAATAAAAAAAGAAGTTCACCTCCAGATTGAGTACAATAGCCTTTTCTCGGCCTAAAATTGCAGAAGGATAAGAAAGAAGAGGATCCAAAGATACGAAGATCTCTAGCATGTATAGGAACTCGTTTCATAATAGCATACTTATCCAAATCCAAGATACTACTCTCCCTCTTACAAATTGAAAACTAACTTAGTTATGTTTACGACTAAGATTTCAGGCGCATCACCTTTCATCAGGTGTTTGTAATATTCATTGTTCATGCATGAAAAAGATATATCTACGCCCTCACCTATATCGCATAATTGATACATTGGCTAACTTATCTTGTCCAGTTCAGTGATGTTTGCATCCTTTATGCATTATGCCTGGAGAAAGACTTGTTTATAATGTAATACTAACTTCATCTGTATTGAGTATTCCAAAATATTTGTATGCTTGAATTTGATTCTGAACTTTCTGCCTTTTCTAAAGTAATTAACAAGGATTATGTTACATATTTTTATAATTTTGATTATTTAGGAATTAAGCGTTAAAAACTTAGAGATTAGAGTATTGGAAGAGTGGAAGAGTGGAAGACTGAAGTCGAAGGGTTTTTGAAATTTAATATATATATGGGATAAAAATTAAATTATATTATATATATATATAAATATGTTATAATATATTA